ATAATAAATTTCCGTATATCTATAAATATCCTGCTTGTTCTGTTTCTGGAGATCCCTGACTAATACGGATGAGAAAGGAAATGAGGGGAGAGAAGGAAAGGCCAAGGGAAAAGAAGAAGAACAATAACATAACATTTAATAAAACTTTAAGTATAAAGTAACACCTGGCATTTGTCTTAAGCCTAAAAACTCTTGACTACAAAAAAGAGTTATCTTTTTTTATTTTTCTTCACGTATTTCCCACAAGAAGTTGACAACTTGTTGTCCAGGATTAATCACATGGCTACCCCGAACTGTGAGGAGGGTGGGAAGTATATTTTAGCTATGCACATTGCCTCCTCTGATAAAATCAGTAGAAAGGGGATAATAATGTTGGGGTAGGCTATGGCAGTTCTTGCCATATGGAGCTAGTGTGACTTTCACCTTATTGTGGTGACTGGAATATTTTTCAGCTAAGTCAGGGATCTGAAAACACAGAAAATGTAAGAAGCATTCAGAGCCACAAGTATGTGATTGGCCAAAGCATTTTGGAGGATGGACATTGGTAAACACCAGTACACTAAATGAGCAATAGAAATAAATGCTTGTAAAATACACTACCCTTTTAAGCTATCCAGAAGAATATGGCATAAACCTTGAAAGAACAGCAGTGTCCTTCAACTAAGCAAAACGTAATTTATTAGAGATGAGCCCTTTTGAAATGAAAACAATTTAGAAAGTTAATATTGTTAGACTGGGAGGGAATATTTAAAAACATACCCCTGACAAAGAATTTGTATCTAGATTACCTAAAGAACTCAGAACTTGGTAATTAAAGGCAAACAACCTAATTTTAAAATGGGCAAAAGATTTTAGTAGACTAAAAAAGAGATGTACAAATGGCCAAGAGTTACATTAAAATATACTCTATCATTAGTTACCAGATAAATGCAAATTAAAATCAAAATTAGATACCACTACATCCTCACCAGAATGGCTATTAGTAAAAAAGCTGACAATACCAAGTGTTGGCAAGGATGTAGAGAAACATGGAACTCTTTATTGATGATGGGAATGTAAACATAGTACAGCCAATTTGGAGAACAATTTGGCAGCTTCTTATGAGATTAACATGCAACCCAGTAATTCCACTTTTAAGTATTTACCCAAGAGAAATGAAAATATATGTCCACAAAAGACATAAACATACATAGCAGTTTTATTCATCTTCTCAAAACATCAGGAAACCCAAATGTCCATCAACAGGTGAATGAAGAATGAAATATATCTCACAATTAGAATCCAACAGCACTATGTTCTTTTAAAATCAAAGTATCATGGTATATCCCCATAATGAAATGTTCTCAGAAAGAAAAAAGAAGACTACTGTATTTGATGACATAGTTGAATCTTGAAAAATCACACTCTGTGAAAGAAGTCAGGCACATAAATACATACTGATGATTCTATTTATACAATTCTAGAATAGTTAAAGCTAATCTAGAGTGACAAAAAGCAGAGCAGTGGTTGTCTAGGCCAGGAGTGGTAGTGGGAAAATGGACTGCAAAGGAGGCCAATGGAACTTTTGGAGATGTTGGGAAAGTTCTGTTTCTTCATTTTGATAATATTTACAGGTGTATAAATTTGCCAAAACTCATTTAAAAACACATATATTTTTTGTTTTTGTTTGTTTGTTTGTTGAGATGGAGTCTCTCTCTGTTGCCCAGGCTCCCAGGCTGGAGTGCAGTGGTGCAATCTCAGCTCACTGCAACCTCTGCCTCCTAGGTTTAAGCGATTCTCCTTCCTTAACCTCCTGAGTAGCTGGGACTACAGGCATGCACCACCATCCCCGGCTAATTTTTGTATTTTTGGTAGAGATGGGGTTTGCCATGTTGGCCAGGCTGGTCTAGAACTCCTGACCTCTGGTGATCCACCCGCCTCAGCCTCCCAAAATGCTGGGATTACAGGCATGAGCCACCACGCCTGGCCTACATAGTTAAAATCAGATTATTTTATTGTATGTATCCCAATAAATTGATTTTAAAAGAGCACTAGTGCTGTTGCATTATAACTGAAATAAAAGCATTGTTTATATAAAAATCACACTCTTGGAATATGATTCATTAACTAATTTATTCATCAGATGAATTAATCCTTGGGTCAGAATCAAACGTGTTCACCAAACACCCGCTGTGTGGTAAAAATCATCCTAGTGGTGAGGATTAATAGATACATGACATAGTTTCTACCATCAGTGAGCCTAGTCTCATGAAGGATGTAGGCCTATAGACAAGTAATGTCCATATAGGGTAATGGGCCTGTAATAAAAGTGAGTACACAGTACAGTAAGTGTTCAAAGGAAGGAACCACCACTTCTGCTTCAGGTAATTAAAGAAAGCTTCACCAAGAAGGTGTTTCAGTTGAGCTTTGAAAGATGAGTGTGAAATTATCAGGAAGCCCAGGGGTGGAAGAATGCTGAAAGGGTATTCAGACCATACCCAGAAAGAAACATACTGAAAGAATACAGTTGAGAAATGGTTCCATGCAACAAAGTTTTGGGGTGGATCTTAGGCTTGGTGCAAGTGATAGGGGGTGGCCCCATCAGAGAGGACCTTGTGTGCCATGTTTTTTGTTTGTTTGTTTTTAGAAAAGCAACATGATTGTGATTATAGTGTGCCATTTTAAAGAGTCGAAACTTTGTCCTACATGCATTGAGACACCAATGAAGGGTTTCAGCAGGAGAGGGATGTGGTAAGATTTGCATTGCTGACAGGCAAGATCAATGGATTAGAGGGGAATATGTCTGAAATGGGGTTCAGTATTATTAATTTATTAAAGAACTGGACACCGTTGTTAGTCAAGACCCAAGCAAAGGCAGCTTACTTTATCAGAGCCCACAGTGCTCCACATGGCCTGGCCACTGCCCTCCTCTCCAATCTCCTTTCCCCACACTGGCCTTCTTACTCACTGTCCTCTGGTCACACTGGTCTCCCTGCCTCTTTTCAGACATTCTAGGTTCATTCCTGCCTTGGGACTTTTCATTAATGTTTGTTTCTGTCTTGCTCTACAGTTCCTTCTCATGAGCCTAGTCTGCATTTAAATGTCACCTCTCTCAGAAAGCCTTTCCCTGACTTCCTGATCTAATGCTTCCTTCTTTGCCATTCACTATCTATTACTTCCCTACTGGATCTTTTTCCCAATGTCAAGAACTGTGAAGGATCTGAGATGTTACCCTACTTGCAAGTTAAGAACTTGGCTTGCCATGGCATCTCATGGATGCCAACATGAGACACAAGACTCTTGGATCAGAAACAGAGGAAATAATTACTCACAGCACAAGTAATCATGAGCTTTATGTTTATATCAGTACTTCTTGGCTATCCAAATTCCAGGGGTAAACAGTGTGACCCAGAGAGATACTGCACACACAGTGAGTTTGTCACAGCTAGGTAACCTAGTACTTAGAAGTTTAATCTTGTATACTGGATGGTAAACAAACCTATCTAACCATCTTAATAATTATTTATTATACTGAACACTAATCAAGCCTACCCTCTGCTCCAGAGAGATGCTAGCTTTATCTTCCAAGGCTGTTTGCCATATAGACATTCTTAAAAATATACTCTAGAACAAAAGAGCAGTTTGTGCCCTTTTGCTTATAAGACATGCAAAAACTTTAGAGAACCTTGGAGAATTATTTCCCAATAATATCCAACCCTCATTTCTTCACTGTTTTTTTTTTTGTTGTTGTTGTTGTTGTTGTTGTTGTTGTTTTTTAACTTGCTGAATTTTCCCAAGAGTATATTGCTCCATCAGCCACTGTGAACAATTTGGGCAAGAATGGCTGGGATCAAATCCACTAAATTTGTCTTATACAGTAGTTACTTAGGTGTTATCAATAGAACTCCAAGATAAAGGATAAGACCAACTGGCAGCATAAATCTCAACCATGTCCCACTGTTGTCCCAGACCTAACCTGCTGAAAAATCCTATAAGTCACCAGGGTTTACATTAGAAATCCAAGTGGTTTTAAGTTTTCATATTGACATTTGTACTTAGTCTGAAGAATTAATCCAAGTATACTAGAATGTATGGGCAATAGCACAGATTTCACCATGGCCTGTAGAGAAGAAGTTTAGGGTAATTCTCAGCAACCATGCCCAGTGAATTAAGGCTTACCTTAATGCCTTCCAGGGCCAAAGTAGTATTTCCTTAAATACTTGAAGTTCTCTTATGACTATCCATAAGGTACAAGTCGCTGTATTTTCAGGAGAGAGGCACATTAATGCTGGCTTCCTTCATCAGTCAGGAGCACAGGTTGACAGTGGTCTCCAATGTGGCCTCATAGCCAACTGGCAGGCCTTGGGGTACCAAATTTAGTTGGAATAATTTATGTTACTCTTAATATTTGGAAAGACTAGCTGAAAGCAATCAGTCCAACCTGTTCTAGTTTTCCAAACCACCAGCCTCCCTCATGGAATGACCAAGAAAAGAGGCAGAAAAGACATCTAGAGGTAACAGGTGATACTTTTGCAGAAGTGCAGGAGCTAGGGCAATCCCCTACTGTTTCTGGTAGACTTCTCAGAAAATTTGAAAGGAACGATGATCAAATAGCAGTTGGAATCATCTAAAGGAGAAATGCTTGTAACAGTTTAGGAGAGATATACCAAGTGTCTTCCTTCATGAGGAAGGCTCATGGGGCTAATCTAAAAAACAAAAATTATTTGTGCCTCTCTCCTCTGCACCCTCAGGGTCTAAGTACTTGTATTAGTCCATTCTCATGTTGCTATGAAGAAATACCTGAGACTGGGTAATTTATTAAGGAAAGAGGTTTAATTGACTCACAGTTCCGCATGGCTATGGAGGCCTCAGAAAACTTATAATCATGGCAGAAGGGGGAGCAAACGTGTTCTTCTTCACATGGTGGCAGGAGAGAGACTGAGTGTCCAGAAAAGGGGGAAGCCCCTTATAAAACCAGCAGGTTTTGTGAGAACTCACTTACTATCATGAGAACAGGATGGGGGAAATCACCCCCATGATTCAGTTACCTTCTACCAGGTCTCTCCCACGACACATGGGGATTATGGGAACTATAATTCAAGATGAGATTTGGGTGGGGACACAGTCAAACCTTATCAGTATTCCTTACCCAGGTGCTGGATTCTTGCTCTCCCTCCACTGTTTCAAAAATCAGTGTGTCCTATTACAATAGCTACAACATCCCCTTTTCTCTAATCATCCCAGATCTTTCATCTGATAGGGGTCATGTACAAGAAGAAAAAGGACACTTTTTAAAACTTATAGAGATCTACAATATTCCCTACTTTGGCCTGTGAGCCACCTACCCCCACAAAAGGGAGATTTAGAATGTAGCATATTCAACTAAATTGTCATTACCTTTTGATCTAGGCCCACATCAGACCAGCAAGAGAATCCAGGTGACTAAACAGAATTAGCTTGAATGTCCTAGGCCACCTTTTGGCCAGCCTGCAAACCAAAGAGTTCACCAACCAGACTGGCTTGTGGTTGCCATTAGGGGAACAAAAAAGTATCAGGTCCAGGAATGGTCAGGACATAATCCAAAATCTTAAAATAGAGCTATACACTTCCCATTCCTTTCATCATGATCATTACCCAAGAAGTTGCCAAAAGTAGAAGATCCCTATCTGGGGACAGCCACATCAGTGACCAACTGCCTTACTAAGGAGTGTGGACCAGGAAGAGGTAAGGGAGGTTGTATTAGCTTCCTAGAGTGCCCTAATGAATTATCACAAACTAGGTGGCTTAAAACAATAGAAATTTCTTTTCTCACAGTTCTGGAGGCCAAAACCAAGGTGTTATCAGAGATGTACTTCCTCTGAAGGCCCTAGGGAAGGATCATTCTTTGCCTCTTCCAGCTTCTGGTTGCTCCAGACATTCCTCGGCTAGTGGCTGCATAACTCCATTCTCTATCTCCATCTTCACCTGGTCTTCTTTCCAGTCCATGTTTCTTCTCTGCTCTGTTATAAGGAGATTTGTCATTAAATTTAGGACCTACCTGTGTAATTCAAAACATCTCATCTCAAGATGCTAAATTTAATTATATCTGCCAAGACCCTTTTTCCAAATAAGGTAATTTTCACAGGGTCTCGGTATTAGGACTTGCACATATTTTGTGGGGGATTTAACCTGCCACAGAGATATAGTCAGCAATCTTTTTGAGTCAATTTTTGAGGAGGCCATTCCAATACTTAACAGTACCACATGCCTGTGAATGATACAGCATGTGGAAAGACCACAGGATAACTATTATTAGCCCATTCTTGAGTGGCTTTTATGATAACAAATGCATCACTATCAGACTGCAAATAGTATGGAAAGCAAAACACATTATGCATATTAGTTTCAAGGGCCACAACAGTGTAGCTGGAGTCTGTTGACCAGACTGCAACAACAACACTGTAACCTGAAGGAGTATCTACAGCAGTGAAGCACCACTGATAGCCCAATAGAGGGGTCAAAGATCCAATGTAGTACATCAATCACCAGTGCATGGATGGCAGTGTGGCAGCCTGCAGCATGAGACAAATGGATGAGCTTATGGCAGGATTCACAGGTCTAGCATGCAGTGGCAGCCTCAGAAACACTGGATCCTTTACTTTGTTCCCAGTCTATCATGGTGGATTTGTTGCCATGTATGGTATGAGGATGGATTCCAGCAGCAATGGTAGCAATCCAAGCTGTGCAGTCTTGATCAGCAATTTGATTTCAGTTGATTTCATCAAAGAATGGGTTCTTATGATATTTACATGAATGAGCCTGACTGTTTTAACACAGTTCATGATCCCAAAGAGGGATATCTCTAATCTGCCAGCCTTTGGTTTTCCAGGTGGCAGACCAGGTAGCTACGCCATTGGCAACACCCCAAGAGTCAGTAAAAATATAACAGAGTCTATCAAGGGGAATATTAGGCAAAGCTGTGAGAAGACCTTGGATTCTACCCCACTGATAAGACTGAATGCATCCATTTTGCCTCTGCATAGCTGAACAGCTATGGCAGCCCACTGGACAGTATTGGGTTTGAGCTTTGCCAAACCGTCAGTGACTCAGGCCTAGGCATCAATAGCAGGAACCAACAAATTTTTCTTAAAGGCCCAGATGGTAAATATTTTAGGCTTATAGGATATGTGATCTCTTTTGCAACTACTCAGCTCTCCCATAGTAACACCAAAGCAGACAACACATTATGTTCTGTCCACATAAAGAAAAAAATAAAAATAGAAAATACAGGAATGAATGAGTGTAATTGAGTTTTAATGAAACTTTATTTGGGGATATAAAATCAATGTACAAAAATCAGTAGCATTCCTATACACAAACAGCACCCAAGCTAAGAGACAAATCAGGAATGTAGTCCCATTCACAATTGCTACAAAAAAATAAAATAAAATACCTAGGAGTACAGCTAATCAGGGAGGTGAAAGATCTCTACAATGAGAGTTACAAAACACTGTTCAGAGAAATCAGAGATGACACAAACAAATGGAAGAACATTCCATGCTCATAGATAGGAAGAATCAATATGGTTAAAATGGCCTCACTGCCCAAAGCAATTTACAGACTCAGTGCTACTTTTACCAAACTACCAATGACATTCTTCACAGAATTAGGAAAAGCTATTCTAAAATTCATATGGAACCAAAAAAGAGCCTGAAAAGCTAAAGCAATCCTAAACAAAAAGAGCAAAGCTAGAGAAATCACACTGTCTGACTTCAAACTGTACTACAAGGCTAGAGTAACCAAAACAATAGAATACTGAGATAAAAACAGATACATAGACCAATGGAACAGAATAGAAAGCCCAGAAATAAAGCTACACACAACCATCTGATCTTTGACAAGGCTGACAAAAACAAGCAACGAGGAAAGGACTCCCTATTCAATAAATGGTACTGGGATAATTGGCTAGCTGTTAGACAATATATGCAGAAGATTGAAATTGGACTCCTTCCTTACACCACATACAAAAATTAAATCAAGATAGATTAAAGGCCTAAATATAAATCCTAAAACTATAAAAACCCTGGAAGGTAACTTAAGGAATATCGTTTTGGGCATTAAAAACTTGCAAAGCTTTCATGACAAAAATGCCAAAAGCAATTGCAACAAAAGCAAAAATTGACAACTGGGACCTAATTAAACTAAAGAGCTTCTGCACAGCAAAAGAAACTATCAAGAGTAAACAGGTGATCTACAGGATAGGAGAAAATATTTGCAAACTATACATCTGACAAAGGGTTTAATATCCAGAATCTACAAGGAATTTAAACATACAAACAAAAAGCAATTAATCCAATTAAAAAGTAGGCAAAAATGGGTAAAGGACATAAAAAGACATTTCAAAAGAAGACACATGCGCAGCCAACATGCACATGAATCAATGCTCAATATCACTAATCATTAGAGAAATGAAAATCAAAACCAAAATACCATTTTACACCAGTCAGAATGGCTATTATTAAGAAGTCAAAAAATAATAGATGGTGGCAAGGTTGTAGAGACAAAGGGAATGTTTATATACTGTTGGTGGGAGTGTAAATTAGTTCAGCCATTGTGTAACGCAGTGTGGTGATTCCTCAAAGAACTAAAAACAGGACTACCATTTGACCCAGCAATCCCACTACTGGGTATATACCCAAAGGAATATAAATTGTTCTACCATAAAAACACATACACACATATGTTCATTCCACCACTATTCACAATAGCAAAGAGGTGGAATCAGCCACAATGCCCATCAGTGGTGGACTGGATGAAGAAAATGTGGTACACATACACCATGGAATACTAGGCAGCCATTAAAAAAGTACCAGATCATGTCCTTTGCAAAAACATGGATGGAACTGGAGGCCATTATTCTTAGCAAACTAATGCAGGTACAGAAAGTCAAATATTGCATGTTCTTACTATAACTGGAGCTAAATAATGAAAACACATGAACACATAGAGGGAAACAACACACAGTGGGGCTCTGAGAGGGTGGGGGATGGGAGGAGGAAAACGTTCAGGGAAAAAAAAAAAAACAACTATCAGGTTCTATGCTTACTACCCAGGTGACAAAATAATCTGTACATCAAACCCCCAAGTCATGAGTTTGCCTATATAACAAACCTGCGCATATACCCCTGAAAGTAAAAGTTAAAATTTTATTAAAAGAATATTTTTAAATGTATGTTCCCTCATATGCTTCTTTGCACTGTTTATTTTTATCAAGAAAAACATAGTTTTGTTTTATTTATTTAAAAAAAAAAAAGTGGCCAGCCTGCAGGCTATAGTTTGCTAACTTCTCGGGGAAAATTTTGTGAACTGAAGGCCCTATTGAGCCAGTGATTTTGTTTCAAATGGTAGACTAGAGGAGATAGTTTTTCCCAGAGGATTACCTGCCAGTTTTTCAAGCAAAGCCGAGATGCTACTGGGGCGAGGGTGGCTGCATTATCGAATATACTGTATCTATTTGACAAACAAAGGTTATTGGGCTCTTCACAGCTTGTTAGTGGTTGAGTCCAAGTTGACCCCCAAAATAAGAATGTCAGACTGGAAATCCCAAAGTCTCCATGAATTAGGCATTCAATGTTGACAAGAGCCAGATAGCAAGTTAATAGCTGCTTTTCAATAGAAATGTACCTGGTATCCATGTCAGTGAGGTAAACAAGACCAAAATCCCCAGGAGCACCTCTAGATAAAGACTGCTTCTCTTTACCAGAAGTTCCCATCAGCGAAATCATCAGTCATGGAGACTTGTAGCTCACAGGGATAAAAACAGACTTCTTGTTGGTGGTGATCGTTGCTGTTTTTTTTCTTTGAGTCCCACTTACAGGGTGCTGATTTTCAAGTTACCCTATGTACAGGACCAAGAAAAATGGCCAAGTGAGAAATATACTGTCTCTAATAACCAAAAAAAGTACGATCAGGTGCCAGGTCTTCTTTTTGGTGGTGGTTAGCTAGAGAGAGTAGTTTTTTTTTTTGACTGAGAGAATGAACACTGTGGATCCATACATGGTCCCCAAAACCTTCATTCAGTGAGCAAGCCTCTGGATTTTCTCAGCGTTTCAGCCACCCCTGCTGGCAGATGTGGGATAATAACATGGTCAGGACCTGCTCAGGCTTCTGACTTGCTACCCAGGAGGATGTCATTGGAATAGTGAAAACTTTGGGCATCTGAGGATGGAGACATTCAGGCAAAATCCCAACTCACCCACTGGATGCAAATATCAGGATGGTTTATCCCACTAACACTCCATACATGAGCCTCTCTCTCTGATCGCGAGAATCCCCTCTGGCAACTTCTGGGTCAGGGAAGTACAGGAGTATAAAACATCAATTCATACTATAGATTCACCCTATCCACAAGGTCGTGTTAACTTCCCTTCCCTACTGTATACCCAACCCAACCCCTGTCACTTGGGACTTTGGGATGGGTTGTCTATGTCCAATAGAACTTAAAAGTTTGAGGTCCTTCCCTAGCCAAGCTTTCCCAACATACTCAGATAAGTGTATAACGCTTCCAGTTGCCCTTGGGGACAGGGAGACCTTGGCACAGCCCCAGTCATTCTTCTCTTTAAAGCAGCTGAGATCAAGGTCAAGAGAGACGGGGAGATAGCAGAGGTGCAGAGGAACAGAGTGATTCTGTACCGGAAATCAAGGCTTTTCATTTACTTTCAGTGTTAAGCAGTGACAGTGCAGTACAAGCAAATGAACTTCTAATGCCTTTAGCCTGTCTAAATCTCTGTATCTTTGTTGCTGACACCATTTATTTCAGCATCATTGCCTCGGTAGCTATAGCCATATTGACTTTTGGCTCTGGCCACAGGGCTTGCTGCCTCATTGTCACTATAACATTTCTTCTTCTTCCCACCTGAAGTAAGCAAGCAATGACAAAAACACTGTTCTGATTGCTTGTTTTACTCCTACGCCCCTTCACCTGGCTATAAAACATATTAACAGGTAGGACCGTGGAGATCCTCACTAATTCCCCTACAATCCTTGCTCACCCATTGGGTAAGAGTGTTACCGCTGGATTCTAGAAAGTCCTTTCACATTCCTGAGGCTGACCCATATGGTACTTATCCTTTCTTTTTCAGAAAGCAATGTCCCTATCAGCATCTTATACTATCACCAAAAACTGCTGAGAACTACCAAGGGTCTGAGGTTTTACCTGCTTGCAATTAACAAAGTAGCCAGCCATGGTTTCATGGATGAAAGCAGAAAACACTGGACTCCTGGTTCAAAGATACAGCACCTTATCACTCACAACACAGCAGATGGCATGGGCTTCATATTTATGCTGCTTCCTTTTGACCCTCAAATTAGGAGTGATCTGGGGAGGGCCTTGGTGAATGCTGCACACACACACTGTGGCTGAGGAACCATGAGCTCAGGTGTCCCAAACCTTTTATAGTAGACAGTAAGCAAGCCTACCTACCACCTGCTCCCAAGGGGAACGCTATTATCTTCCAAGGCTGTTTGCTATACAAACATCCTTGAAAGACACTTCAAAACAAAGAGACAGTTAGAGCTTCTTCTCATGAAACATGCAAAAATGCAAGGCGCCCAAGCAGAATTGTCTTTGAGCATCCAGTCGTCTCCACTTCATATTCCCTCACTTGTTTATTTTTTTGTTGTCTTTTGCTCCCACCAAAACGTAAGCTTCATGAGATCAGGGACCTTCTGTGTGTTGGTCTCTGCTCTTCCCCTACCATCTAAAACAGGAATTCACATATAGTAAATGCTCAGTAGATATCTGTTGAACAAACAAATTTCTCAAAATCTTACTTGTTTTTGAATACGCAGCTTAGGTGACTTGTCTTCAGAGGAGCCATACCAGATCCTGTCACTGAAATTTATTAGTCAGGCATTTGGGCTTTCATATTACTTCTTGTACTTTGGGCATGGCACTTGTAATTGGACTTTTTGTGCTATGGTTCTTTTTTATTCATGTTTGTCTAGCTAGATTGAAAAACCCTTGAAGATGGGTATTAAGTCTTATTTACAGGGCTGAGACTAGGGTGAAGCAAGTGAAGAACCTCAGCACAAAATTTAAGGAGGTCGCCTCAAGCACACGCAAATGTGCCCTACACACCTTGCTTGCCTGACCCTAGCCAGTCCTGCTTACTTGTCTTCATATCTTCAGAGGCCACTAAAGTGGCTTTCCTCTAATAGATGTTCCACCAATGTGTATTCAGTTAAAATGAATATGATCACAAACTGAAAGTGTTTGACACCCATTTGCTTAGTACCTAATATTTGCCCTTTGTCCCTTTAGGGGCATGTTCACCATTCTCCACCCTGCTTTGTGCCACAGAAGGTAGACCTGTGTGAACTGTATCAAAAGACACTCTTGCCTCTAGCTACTAGTTGGATTGGTTGGTGGGAGCTCCCAGTAGAAACTGGAAGGGCAGAAGGAAAATAAGTTCAGGACCCTAGGTCCCTTGCTGCAAGGTCACCTTCGATTGGCTATTTCCTCCAGCAAAGACACAGCTCCTGTCAGTCAGACCTCTCTTACAGTACAGTCACTCTCTTCAGGTTCCAGTAGTTGCTCCCACCCCTTGTTCCTTCATGCCTAATACAGGTGATAACTCCCCATTATGGCTGGCTCTGGAATGCATTCCTATATCTTTTGGGTTCCCTCAACTCTGACTGCATCTTTTTACATAGTTCATTTATTAAAACTCTTTCAGGCCAGGCACAATGGCTCATGCCTGTAATCCCAGCACTTTGGGAGGCTGAGGCAGGAAGATCACTTGAGCCCATGAGTTTGAGATGAGCCTGGGCAACATGGAAAAATGCTGTCTGTACAAAAAATAAATAAATAAAAAATTAGCTGGGTGTGGTGGTGTATACCTGTAGTCCCAGCTACTTGGGAGGCTGACAGGGGAGAATCACTTGAGCTAGTAGCTTGAGCCGGGGAGGCTGAGGCTGCAGTAAGCTGTGATCACACCACTACACTCCTGCCTGGATGACAGAGAGAGACTGTGCCTCAAACAAACATTTTCAATTATTTCATTTGAGTGTGCTATTTTTTTCCTATTGAGACCCTTAAAGAACACGATATTGGACCTCAACAGATATTTTATAATAAATATGGAGAAAAGCAATGGTAAAATATACCGCTTAATTTTTTAAGTATAAAAGATAGCATTTTAAAAGAAAACTTGACAGCAACTATATGGTATTTTATTGGTTTCAACCAAATGAATTTAAATTTCAATGGATCATGATACCTAAAATTGATAAAGTAATAAAATTAAGCTAAAGGGGAACTAGTTTGAAGCCTGGGAAGGCTGATGATGTACTGTGAATAATGAATGCTAGAAGGTGGGAATATTTTTATAACTCACCTTTTTGTCATTAATAAGTTAATCACAAATCTATGTATCAAAATGAAAATGCTCAGTTAAAGGAATACCTAAAGCCTTAGGTGACTCCAAGTAGTATTAGGGCAGAAAGACTTAAAAGAGTCTGAAAACTAAAGGATGCCTAGGTAAAATAATTGCAATTATTTTAATGATTAACAGCATAAGCATGAACATTTCTTGATAACAAAATGGCATTAATGGTCCTGGCTGGTAAAAGCTAAAAGCTTTAATTTACTAGAAAAGGGTTAAAGTTGATATACTGTTTCATCTGGGAAACTCCATTACTGAAAAGCAGAAGAGCAAATTGATTAATAGGTGGTTTTAACAATGGTTTCATGCTTTGGTCACTACAAATAGAGGGAAGAGTGATGGAAATCCTACTAAATTCATAACATCTTAATAAACCCAGAGAATTTTTTATTCTAACAGTAAGTTTATTTTGATACGGGGCTGACATTTACGTTAGATTTCATCTCTTCTAATAGTGCCTTTAAAAAAAAAATCTTTGAACAAAATGGGATGGGCAATTCCTTAACCCTTTCACCACCAGAACTAATTACCTAAAGAAAGAATATGATTATGTGTTAAATTCCAAGCTTATTTAAAAGATGCAGCACAGAATTGAGTAAGTATACAGATAATTGAATCCCCAAGCCTTTCTCTTTATGCAGAGTTTAAATAATTGATGCAAGGATGAATTATCCAGATTCATTATCTCATTTCTGGACTTCATTTTAGTAATTGCAGATTAAAATTCAACCAACATTTATTGAACAGCAGCTGATTCCAAGATTTTCCATATGCTGTCCTGGTTAATCTTCCTAGCACCTTTGTAGTGTAGGTGTCATTAATTCCATCTTACAGATGAGGAAGCTCAGATTCAGAGGTTTACAACTTGCATGGAATTGGATTTGAAACCACATCCCTTTACTTTAAGTCTGACGAAGTTTCCTTTAAACCACATAGATAGACGAGAAATGAAATTTGATCATGGCATGAAAGCCACACATTCTAGGTAAACAACGCCAGCCAGGGGATGAGTTTGCTGCTCTGAGGTTCTAACTGAACATGCCTTGAACATTTCTGAGCATCCAGTCATCAGCCACACTGGGAGCGGAGCAAGACTAAGTTTACACCAAAATTGATTTGTTTTCTTCATCAGTTACCTCTCACTTCCTCTGGAAACGATTTATCTTTGCTACCTGATTTTTGAGTAGAGGAAACATTATGACATTAATTGGTCACCAGTTAAACAGTGACTTGTGATTTATGTAAGGATTATAGGGCTTTTCCGGAAGACTACATTTCCCTTTGCCAATGTTACAGATAAACATTTCATTTCGCATATAGAAGATCAAAACTCAGAAAGGGAACAAGCATGCATTTAAAAATCCAGCGCCTGTTGGGGGAGAAATGTATCCAAAGACTAATTCCTCGGGCACTTACTGTCTCTTATTCACCAAGAAAAGAATACATACGATTG